GCATGTTGCTCGGAGTCGCTGCGCCTCCGTTTCTGCCTGCCGGGTTCGTGCTGCGCCTGTGGGGCAGGCCCGAGGGCACACTCGTGGAGGACGGGCCGACCACCGGCGCACGGGGCGGCGGCCGCGCCCGGTAACAGCTCTCACTGCTCTGTCTCGGCAGGTGCTGCCCGGCCTCCTGCAGCGGCACTGCTGCGTCCTGCCCGACGGCAACACAGGTAAGGCGGGCGCGGCGCTGCCGCGGCGTTTGGCGCTGGGCGCTGGGCGCGGGGTTGTGCATTGACGGATGCGGCGAACACGCTTCGGTTCTGCGGTGACTTGGGGCCCGCGTCGGGGACCGGATTTCCGCTGAGAAGGGGAATGAGTCAGATGGCTGCTGGTTGCCTTGGGGGCTTGCGGGGGAGCCGGCTGCCTTCGGAGGCCCAGCGCGTGCCCTCGAGTTGGCTCGTCGTTGGTCGCGCTTAGCTCGAGGGAAAACGTCTTCACTGGCGAACCGGGAGCCTGGGCGGGGCCTGGCGGGGTGGGGCGGGGCCTGGAGGGGGCGGGGCCTGGCGTATATGCCACTGCCTGACCATTACGTGGGGCATCGTGTAGCGGGCGTGGTGAAATGGGTGTCTGTAGTGGGGGTCATGCAGTGGGCATCTGTGCAGTGGGGCGTCTGTGCAGGGGCGTCTGTGCAGTGGGCATCTGTGCAGTGGGGTGTCTGTGCAGTAGGCCTGGTGCAGTGGGGCATCTGTGCAGTGGGGCATCTGTGCAGTGGGGCATCTGTGCAGTGGGCCTGGCACAGTGGGGCATCTGTGCAGTGGGTGTCTGTGCAGTGGGCATCTGTACAGTCAGCCTGGTACAGTGGGGCATCTGTGCAGTGGGCATCTGTGCAGTGGGCATCTGTGCAGTGGGCGTCTGTGCAGTTGGCTTGGCACAGTGGGGCATCTGTGCAGTGGGCGTCTGTGCAGTGGGCCTGGCGCAGTGGGGCATCTGTGCAGTGGGCGTCTGTGCAGTGAGCGACTGTGCAGTCGGCCTGGTGCAGTGGGGCATCTGTGCAGTGGGCCTGGCACAGTGGGGCATTTGTGCAGTGGGCATCTGTGCAGTGGACGTCTGTGCAGTGGGGCGTCTCTGCCGTCAGCCTGGTACAGTGGGGCATCTGTGCAGTGGGTGTCTGTGCAGTGGGCCTGGCACAGTGAGGAGTCTGTGCAGTGGACGTCTGTGCAGTGGGCGTCTGTGCAGTGGGCCTGACACAGTGGGCATCTGTGCAGTGGGCGTCTGTGCAGTGGGGCATCTGTGCAGTGGGCCTGGCACAGTGGGGCGTCTGTGCAGTGGGCGTCTGTGCAGTGGGCGTCTGTGCAGTGGGGCATCTGTGCAGTGGGCCTGGCACAGTGGGGCGTCTGTGCAGTGGGCGTCTGTGCAGTGGGCATCTGTGCAGTGGGGCATCTGTGCAGTGGGGCGTCTGTGCAGGGGCGTCTGTGCAGTCGGCCTGGCGCAGTAGAGCATCTGTGCAGTGGGCGTCTGTGCAGTGGGGCGTCTCTGCCGTC